TAGCGACCGGCTACTCTCACTTAACCCAGTCCCAACAGTATTTCAAATTAGGTAGCAGCGGTCTCCTTCCATTTCTCATCCAAGCAATTATTATCTGACCATCACTTCATTCGACTCCGTGTCGCTCGCTCGCTCACTTATGGAGTTGAGCCCTTCTTGAGAGGCCGCCAGTTGTGCAGCTACTCAAGAACATCCCAGCTTTTTATGATACCCGAAGGTTCATCACCATATTCAAAACAGCACTCCACTGGTCCCTATCCTGAGCCAGAACAAACCTGTCTATAAAATCCCATTCTTTCTCTCCAAGGTCCACTTTAATATTGTCCACCCACCTATGCCTTTGTCTTCCCAGGTTTTGTTTTAATATCGTCGTTTCCAAATATCTGAACTGTGACACATTCTCAAAATATCTGTTATCTATTTTCATGTCATGATTTTGCTATGAATTTTGGTGACGAGACAGCAACATTACTTAGTTTCTGTGTGTTTACTTATAGACCAACCTCCTTAAAGTTTCTGTGTGTCCCTTTATGGCATCTGTTATATTCGACTCTGTATCAGCGTAATTATTAGAAGCGTCCTCTTTCTCGTGAGTTGCTTAAAGTTCTTCTCAATACTGAGACTATACGAATATGTAACCTTGAATTGTAGGATGATAAGAGAATTGCACACTATTTGGAATGAAGCTGTCGGAATAAAATCTAAGCACCCCCCTGAATTTACTTTCAGGGACTGAAGAACATCACTAGAAGCCCGGTCAGATCATCCGATGTCCTCACCGACATTCGAACCCAGCACTTCCCGGATACAAGCCTACAGTTCTGCCTCTAGACCGGCCTGTTCGGTTTTGTACCGTCCATAAATGCAATTGGATTCTTTTTCTCGCACATAAGTGGCTATTATCCGATAATCCAAACCGTATATACTCCATCCACTATCGGAACGAGGTTGCGTTATCATCAGTTAAGTCATGAATAGGAAGTGACTATATTCTGTTCTGAACGTACTTGCCAGTAATCAGTAGAGGACGGGAAATTAAAATATATTTACACAGGAATTTTATTGCGCAATGTTGCCTACACAAGGTATGATGCACCCTGGATCACAGAATAGATATACTTCACAATGTACTGAACCGGTTGGTTGGTGACCTAAACATGGCGCCGTAGGTGTATAAATTCTTGGAACGATAGCCCCTCAGACGACAAGCAATACCAACATTAAACTGTACACAATCTGCTTGTCTCACGTAAGAGAACACAGGGCTTAATATTCAATGAACGAGGTCGACCTGCTATGAGCTTGGGCTTGAGGGTCAAATTATGTGCAGAATATAATGTTTCTACAACATGGTGGCCACGGTGTTTCTATTTGGATATAAAAATTGGAAACTGTCGGTCCCCCTTTGTCAGGATAAAAATCTCATCTTGTTCGGATTAGCAAACACAATCTCATATCAAACAGAACATAACAGCAGCTACAGGCATGTAATATACAGCTTATTATTTGCTTTAGATAAATGCTACTCCGAACGGGAAAACACCTCTACCCGCGCTTCTACCCACTTGCAAATTGACGAAAGAGGATTCAAGCGTCCCTCTTCCTCCCCACTCCTATGAACCACGTGATTACAACAAGTTGTTACGTATTTGATTCATAAAAATAACGTAACACAAAACATGAAGCAGTAATGACAGAGAGATGGCACGGGGGAGAGGAATGAATTTAATGTGTTGTTCTCTCTTTTCGAATTATGTGTAAAGGTCGCTTTCAATTTATTATTAAATGAACTCAATAAATTTTCTAAGACTTCTTAGACGGGACACCAGCCCATAGCAAGATTTATGCTATCTGACGAAAGCAGAGGAACAGAAGGACACCAAACACGGACCTAGCGACATCCCAGAACAGTGTAGACTGCGGTACCTAACACCTCTGGTATTTAAACCTTTCTTTCATCTAAGAAGTGGGCCTTAAACCTCTCAATCACGTGACTAATGAACTATTATAATATTGTCATGAATTAGAGTGTGACTATAGACGTCGTATGCACTGGATGGATTGGATTTATTGATCACTTGTACACGCCACTCGGAACTATACAGTTTACAGATCATAACTCACACAAACAACTGTCCTCAGTCTATTCAGTGCACACTAGCCTTTTCCTGGCAACGGTTTTTACCGAGGGAGATTCTTCAGCTTCCCGCACTTAGGTCCTCTTATCACAGCCGCCCGTGCAGAATTTTTGTCAACTGACAACTCAACTAACTGGGTTCCAGGCTGGCGGCCATTTCACACCAACCTCCCTGGCCTTCTCTTCAAAGGCTGACGTTTAACTAAACCGCAACTGAACTGTCTCATCACCAACCACCTACTTCAGATAACTTCGCTCAACAGAACTGCTGACAACTCCAAGAAACAACTAAGTAGTTGCAAAGTCAGAGTCAAAGTCACATCGCGACTTATGGTCAGTCAGTCATTCAGTCTTTTATTTAATGCTAGTGGGGTGGGACTTAGGTCCCTTGTGCTGCGACCACTTCTGGCCTATTGTACCAGCCCCAGATGATAGGTGAGGGTGATTGTGGAGCAATTGGTGGAATCAAGATTGCCAGGTGAAACCGAAGTACTCGGAGAAAACCTGCCCCAGCTCCATTTTGTCCACTACAAATCCCACTTGAACAGACCCGGGATTGAACCCGGGCCGCCACGGTGGGAAGCCAGCGACTAACCGCTTGAGCTATGGCGCGGCCCGTCATTCAGTCTTGGTGTCGAGCCCAAAAAAGTAGTTGTCAAAGTCAAAGTCAAAGTCAAAGTAACTTTACTACAGGCGGTTTACCGCCAATCAGTTCGTCTTGGCGTCAGACCCCTTGGAGATAGTCCTTACGTAACATCATCTCTGACAAGAAGATACTTGTCTTCGGCACGTACCACTTAGAAAACACCGTTTCTATTGTTATAGTCCAATAATACCTCGGCCGCTGCATAGAAACGAGTGTTGCTTTATCCTCCTATTACATAGTAACGGCAGTACTCCTTACAATTAAAACCGTGGGCTTTAAACCTCTCGATGGCATCAACCATGAGCTTTGAAGCTCTGGAACACGTGAGCTGGGCCTTAAACCTTTCAATCATGTGACCGGTGGGCTTTAAATATCTCTGTCATATAAACCGTGGGCCTTAATCATCTCGATAACACGATCCGTGGACCTTCAGGCTCTGGATCATCTGACAACTGGGCCTTAAGCCTCTCAATCATGTGGACGGTTGGCTTTAAACCGCTCTATCCTGTAAACCTTGGGCCTTGAATCCTGTCGATAACATGAACTGTTTCTCTTAAATTCGTTCGATCACCTGGATCAGTGGCGTTAAATCACTCGATCACCTGTACAGTAGGTCTTAAACTTCCAGACCACCTGACCCGTGGGGCCGAAACAACTCAGTCACGTGATACATACATTCTCTTACCCTGACCGTGGGCCATGAGACGTTGATCACCCGAACCGTCGGCCCTAAACTGTTCGTTCACCTGAACGGCCGGATTCAATCATGACACTCAGTTCGACGGCGAGCCTGAAATATATCCATCACCTGCACCATGGCCCTCCAACCGTTCGACCGGTAGGACCGTCCCAAATACAGATATCAGCTTCCCTCGCAGAACGACGAAGCGTCAGTTTCTCTGAGACGAAGTTTCAACACACGTGGTCCCAGAATGCAGTCGCCATTTTCACGAGTTCCAGTCACGGAAGTTAGTGTATTCTTCTCTTATTTGGCAGATTCTCTCTGCTCTCTCATGCTCTGCCAACAGACGTAAAGCCCACACAACACGTGATCATAATTTCATTCACTGTTGCGTATAAACGTGAATATGAACTGAATTGAGGGTGTTGAGAACAGGGTGATCAGGATTTATTAATGGCCATTTTATACGACGCTTGGGATGGCTCATTCGGTATAGTGAAAAGCTACGGCCTGGAACGCCGGGGTTCGATTTCCGGCAGGAGGAAATTATTTTCTCTTCTACATAGCGTCAAGACAGGCTCTGGGGCCCAATCAATCTCTTATTCAATAAGCATCGCAGGCTGTTTCACAGGGGATAAAGAGGGAGGGGCGTGAATCTGACCATTCACCTCTATCTACTGATGAGGTCAACAATGTTGGAGCAGTGTCTCTACTCCCCATAGGTCTTCATGGCGTAGTGTTCCATTAATTAGGTATAGTGATAACTTTACCTTTATTTTCTTGTTCTCTGAACTGAACTTAGTGTCCACGGTTGATTATTCTACGGTTTTCACGAGAGTCACGCTTTTGTTCAGCTGAGTGAGTACCTGTGCTGTTTTTTCACTCAAACAGCAGTCGGTAACTGAGGAATGAAGTCAAGTAGCACAAGTCACATATCAAGGATACTGCATCAAGTTAGCTATTCGTGTCCCTGTTTCAGAATATGCAAGCAAGCGTTTTCAAACATCAATGGTAAGAGAAGGGTAGCAATCAGAACTATGGGAAATTAAAATACTTTATCTGCTTTTCAAGTAATGCATTTACGCAAAGGGTGTGCCCTAAGCCTCTTTAACAGCGCTACGTTAAAAACGAATACACATAATAGGAACTGGGATTCCCCCCACGCAAAATCAATACAGGAAGTTTTCCAATTTTTATAGCGCTGTAATTGTGTTTTGATTTCCGATGGACGCGGAACGTATGGGTTTTAAAAAATTAAAATTCCGGCCTAAAAATATGGTGCGCTGTAAAATGGTATTTCTGGTGTGGATTTTACACTGCTGACTTCTGAACGACATTGTGAAGATAATGTGAAAAGCAGAATCTTGCGACCCAGTAACCATTTTATTAGAAAACTGCAGTCTAATCATAATAAAACAAAGCTTCTGATTTTTGAAAAATTTGTTTCAGCAATTAAGTATATTTTAAGAAAATACTCTCATCTAAGGTGTGATGCAATGTGCTCTGTTAAAAGTACACAAATCCTCTCTTTTCAGGGTCGATGCTGAAGTTAACCAAGTAAACAGCAAGGAAAGAGGCAAAGGAAATCTAATATATAAAGCTACCCCTGTAGCGGGAGGTGGAAGACCCTTGGTTTGAGAGACGTCGACTGAAGTAAAGTGAAGCAGCTGGTCGGTGAGTGAGAGAGCTCAGTTGTCACTTGGAAGTCAGCCTGTGGCGAGAAGAACAGGAGGTTGGCATGAAATGGCCATCAGCCTGGGAGTTGTTAGTTGTGATTTGTCAGCTGGCAAGAGTTCTGCTCGGGCGAATGTGACAGAAGGACCTGAGTGTAGGAAGCTGAAGAATCTCCTTCGGTATGAAAGTTGCCAGATAACGGCTAGTGGAGACTGTAATTAACTGAGGACGCTAGTCTCTGTGCGCCAGTGATCTGTAAATGTAGCTCCGTGTTATGTATAGAAGTGGTCAATAAATCCAATTCACCAATCCGTAACGCGTCTATAGTTACACACAGACCCAAACAGTGAAAATATTTTCTTATTATCAGAATTTGAAACGTGTGAGCGACAACACGGATATTATCAGGGCAATAGATTGAAAACGTATGCAAATTTCGTTTAGTAACTTTGCTGTAGAATTTGAAATGGAAAGAAACTTGGCTGCCGTGGAGAGTTATTTTCGGTGTCTGTGACTCTATGCCTGTACCTAATGAACCACTAGAGTTGGACCTGTGAAATCCTACACGAAAACAAGTTCTGAACGTAATCACAAATTGCATATGAGCTGTTATTTGTAAATGAACAGTCACGAATACTGTGACAATGCGAATTGTTGATGTTATGTCCAACAAATTTAACGTAGCTGAAATTGTTCCTGTGCTTTACTAAGTCATGAAGGCGTAAGTGGGAGTGGATGTATAGTTTCCACCTATTCTTGACCTCGACACTAGTTATATGTGAGTGGTCAACTTCAAGTTCCGGCCGAATTCCCCTTCAGCCCGCCCGGGGAGACCCCCGATACCCATTTGATCGGAGGTCCGGTGGGTCCCACATCCGGTCTGGACAACGTGGAGAGGAGATAAAACCTTACCTGTACTCGAATTCATACTCCTTAGACGTCCTGCCCTACAGAATCCTATGCAATAGGGATATACATCTTGTGCGTTCTGCTCAAAATTGCTTGTCACTCATTAGGAATACGCTTTTAGTTCTTCCATTCCGTGATACGATGGTAATTCTATACTGCGGGTTTCTGAGCTGTACCACGCTGTATTCAGGTAAGTGTTTACCAGCAACTGGGACTCTCTGTTTTCAAGGCAGACGTGAGTGAAGATTGAGGCAGTATATTGCCCCGTGTTTGGGTGACTAAGATGCGTGTTTGGGCTGCAATGGGTTTATTGAAACTTCACTAGTTGTAACTTCAAATAACTTTCAAGATTACTGTAATTATAGCCTACAAAGTCTTCAATTCACACACTAAGTCTTCACAGGTGGACTTCTAGCTCTTCTTCAACTACGAACTTCTCGTGGTTGTCTCCTACCGAGAACTGACTGTAAACAAGTCAAAGTCAATAATGTTATATTTTAGCGTCCTGTTGCACTGATTTATGTCCATGATTTATTCTGACCGTCCTAAAGTGCATACATTTATTCGCCTTACTCTTCTCTCTTGCATTACATGTTTCGACACTAAAGTGCCATTTTCAGGTGCTTTTCGATGTACGTCGAACTACTTCATTGCATGCCCTGTTGTCTTTATACTAAAATAACTAAAATATATATTCGTCATATATATTTTAGTTATTTTAGTTTATTTATGAAAAATTGAAAATTAAATATCAAGGAATCTATTGCACACATATACAGAGTGTCCACGAAGAAAGGTCAATATTCTGGGAGATCATAATATAGGTGATTCTAAACAAAAAATTGTGCATGTACATGTATCCTATTCCGAACGGTTTCCGAGATAGAGCTATTTTACTGATGAAAAATGGTTGATATGAAAGAGATATTAAGTACTGTAACAAATACCGATATTCACTGCTCAAGTGACAAAGTTGGTACCGTTTACCTAGTATAATACATTTTCGAAATTCCACCGTAAACATCAATGCACTTTGCAACTTGTGTGAGGACATGGCGTGCTGCCCGTCTGTACAGTGTGCTGTGCAGTGAAATAGCTCTATCTCGGTGCAACTTGTGTTAATGACATGGCGTGTTGCTCGTCTGTACAGTGCACTGTACAGTGAAATTTGCTCTATCTCGGTGCAGCTCGTGTGAGGACATGGCGTGCTGCTCGTCTGTACAATGTACTGTACAGTGAAATAGCTCTATATCGGTGCAACTCGTGGGAGGACATGGCGTGCTGCTCGTCTGTACAGTGAAATAGTTCTATCTCGGAAACCGTTCGAAATAGGACACATGTACATATGCACTTTTTTGCTTCGAATGAAGGATGCTATGACCTCCCAGAATATTGACCTTTCCTCCCGGGAAACAATGTATGCGGTATATAAAGGTAAAGCTATCACTGTAACAGACCGTTTGGTTCCACAGGATTGTAAGACGTCGAGGTTCCCTCATTGTTTAGACAATTGGGTTACAGATGGTGAGGTTGTCAGTTTTACGCTCCTGCCGCCCTGAACCCCTATGGAAGATATCTGATACTCATTTCTGTTGAAGGCTGAATCGACCCCAGGGCAACATTGCGCCTGGAAGGATTAGGTCAAATGAAGAAATCGAATGACCTCATCAGGAATCGAACCCGCTACATTCCAGCTTGTAGCATAGTATCTCAACCAACTTCGTTACTATTTTTTGTTTGTTTGTGTAATCCTTATCGAATTCAAAACACCTCAGTATTATATGACGAATGATTGTTAAACAATAAGCAAAAAACTGTGTTTTTGGGGGAGGGGGGGACCAAAAATTTTGGTGGTATCGAAAATTTCTGGAGGAGACTTGAACTAAAAGACATGGAGGTTTGTGTCTGAAACCTCCCCAGGAAAGTCCTCCATCATTGTGCCACATTTAGAAGAAATTGTGTGGCAAAGTATAAAGAAGAAACAAACCAATAAACAAAAGTACTTCCTTGTACATAGATACAACGCAGTTTCGTAGGGACACATTCAGTGCAACACGGTGCAAGACAGCCGCTAGGAGGCGCCTCACTGCCGCCCGCAAGCCAGCCGACTCTTGTCTAATCACATGCTCGCTCGGTCATACAGCCGGGTCTGGACGTCGGGTGGAGTCACATAAAGGACGAGAGAAGTTGCTCGGCTGATTATCATGCAATCAACTTTAATTAAAACTAACGTATTACATCCATATTGCAATTTACTTTGCTTGCCAGAACTTGCTTGTTATGTCGTATGTAATTTCGATGCTTGCAATTATATTAAAATATTTTTTCACATTCAGTACGACTATATATGTAATTTTTTTTGTTGTTGATCGTAGAGCCAGAAAACAAAAGAAGAGGGAGGGTAAAGAAGAGCAAGCGTGTAGAGGGGGGTAAAAGAGGAGCAAAATAGGAGGAGGGAGATTGAGTCGTTGTCATGGAGATGAACAATCAGATTCTGATGCTGTCCCTCACCCCTCCTCCTCCACTAACGCCCGAGCTTCCGTTTATTTCCGTTGTCACGCTTATTGAAAGAGTTAGCATCCGGTAGCCTGGGGATTGAGAGGTGGTCCGTCTGTCTCTTTCTCTCTGTGCAGAGGTTTGATTTATTCTGGGCCAGACGGGGGAGGTGGACACTACCAAATTGTAACGATCCGTCTCATTATTCAGAACCTGCCCGTACTATTACTGTTGCTAGCAGAAGGGAGGAGAGAGGAACAAAATATTAAAACCTCGTGCAAGCTGCGAATCTCTGACCTCTCCTGATTTCATACCTCCATTCATTTTCCCCGGTTGTCAGGTTCTTCCGTACAGATTCCTATCTTAACGTACTGATGGCGCTAGCTGTAGGTTAAAAGACAAGTCTCCCAATGAACTAAATTCATTCTATGGCCGCGCCATAGCTCAACCCTGGCTTCCCACCTCAGCGGCCCGGGTTCGATGCCGGGTCTGGTTAAGTGGGATTTGTTGTGGACAAAGTGACACTGGGGCAGGTTTCCTCCGAGTACTTTGGTTTCCCCTGCCAATCTTCATTCTACCAATTGCTCCACAATCACCCTCACCTATCATCTGGGGCTGGTACAATAGGCCAGAAGTGGCAGCAGTACAAGAGATATAGTCCCACCCCACTAGCCAAAAAAAAAAATCATTCTACGTACTTACTTCTCTGTGGAATTGTCTGCTTCTTAAGAAGGAATTAGTGTAACCGATTACTCCTTTTTAGTAATATACTTTCGCATATTTTATGCATATCTTCATTTATGTAACTACTGTTTCTCAACAAAACCTAAATTACGAGTTTGGGTGAATTGCGTACATTATTACGCATTATAAATTGCCATGAACCATACATTGAATGAGGATGACTCAATGTCCTGTGACTTCTTACGAAACGCTTGATTCAGTTCTTTCTTTGTCTTTATAAGGTATGATGTAAGCCCAAAGAGTAAGTAGCTTTACAGCGGTACTTCCCACGAACAGCCAATCGAATTGCTGAAATTCTAGTATGACATCATACTAACGCTAAACTGTCGTCATGTAGAGCCCTTTGTTCCAAGACAGACAAAGCTTGACTCTCGAACAGTAAAGACGCGTAGTCGCGTTGTTCCTCAGATGGGAACAAAGGGCTTAATATAGTCCCAAGTTTAAACATAGCAACCATGTAACTACAAGTAACTAATAAAATAAAAGTCTTGTGAAAGTTTGTCGCTAGTTTGTTTGACCGCCTTCGTTGGAGCCAAGGCCCAATTAACGGCCCATGTGATAGTCTCATGTTCCCCAACTGGGGTGGCGTCCACCAACCACAAAGGTGAGGCTACATCGTCACCGGCCTCCACATATTCACTAAAGGCGATTCACCAAAGGCAGCTACGGCCGACTTGACTTTCACCAGAAAGCGGCTGCGACCAATATTACCCATCATTGGCCAACAGCCAGCACCCACAAAGTGACTGCTTCCAGTGCTTCCAACGCCCCACAAAACGCGAACTGCAACATTAGTTACTATACATTTAAAGAGCAGGGATAGTTTAGCTACGGGCTGGACGAACGAGGAGTCGGAATTCGAATTCTCGGTAGGGTCAAAATTTTTCTCTTCTCCACGTCGTCAAGACTGGCTCTGGGCCCACCCAACCTCTTATCCAATGGGAATCGGGGGCTCTTTTTCAGGTGTAAAATGGCCGGGTCGTGAAGCTGTCCCCTCATTTCCAGCATGTGCCGAAGTCAAGAAAATGTGGATCCATACATCCACTACCCCATACACCTTCATGACATAATGCTTAATTAGTTAAGAACAGGAATAACTTTAAATTATTATTCAAGAAGCTGTGATTA